GCCCAGCTGGCTTTGGTTAGGGAATTAGCACGGCCCCGCAGTGAGCCCGTCACACCCAGCTGTGGGGGGGGGGGAGCAGAGCCCAGGGCGGGCGTAGCAGGGGCTGGGGGTCGGGGGGGGGGGGGCACGGACCCCAGCGCTGGCATAGCAGGGGCTGCGGATCGGGAGTGAGGAGCACTGGCAGAGCTGGGGGGGGGGATAGTTCAGCTGATGTCCGAATCCCACTGGAGCAGGGTCCGTCCCGGGGGCGCTGCCTGGCCTGGTCCCAAGCCGCTCTCAAGCAGCCCCCCCCCATTGGGAGTGGGGAACAGTTTGCAGCCTGAGGATAGAACTTCAAACAGGGGAGTGGGGACCCCCCCCAACACCCCCATCCCAGTGCCACACACTGATCGGGAAATTAAACTGCGGCCACACAGGCAGTCCCCCCGAGGGCGAATGCTGCTGCAGCTCCGGGTCCCAGACGACCTCCTCGGCCCCCCCGCCCACTTCCCCAGGGGGCTCTGCCGTGACTAAGCCAGGGAGCTGGGGCCTGAGCCCCCAGGATCTGGCCCCCCAGGGAAGTGGGGCATGGGGGACAGAGACTAGCAGGACTCCTTTGCAAGTGCTCAGACGATGGATGGGGAAACTGAGGCAGAGGTCTCCCATTCCATAGCAGAGTTGGGAACAGGACCCAGGAAGGGGGACCTGGCTGGGGGAGGTGCAGGCAGGAAGGGAACACCGCTCCCCCCCCCTCCCAGCTGGGTGTGACGGGCTCACTGCGGGGCCGTGCTAATTCCCTAACCAAAGCCAGCTGGGCGGCTGCCGGGCGCAGTTCTCGACTCGCCGCCAGTGGCTCCAATTAACACCCCCGCCCACGCCGCAGGCAGGGAGCACCCCCAGGCCGGCCGGGGGCTGGCAGTGCCCAACCCCCTGCAGATAGCCTGGGGGGCACCCCACAGCCCAGGGGAGGGGGCCTGGAGGTCTGCAGGGGGCGAAGCTCCGGCTGCTCTGGCAGGGAAAACACTTTGGCAGATTTCCCCCCCCCAGCCCCCAGGGGCTGAGCTCAGAGAGCCCCCGGCGGGGGGCTGGGTACGCCCCCCCCCCCTCCCGGGCAGGGCAGCGCTCGCAGGACGGGAGGTTTGTTTACCCTTCGGTCCCTGCTGAGAGGCTATTTATAAACCCGCTCCAGGCGGGCGCTGCCCGGAGCTGGATCACGAGGCACCGACGTGCCAAGGGGCCCCACTGCCGCCACCTCCTGCCCCCGGGCAGCCGAGTCACGGGCCGGGCGGTGCCAACGCCTGGCACGGTGCCAACGCCCGGGCGGGGACTGACCGAGACCTAACCAGGGCCCCCGCCCCATGGAGCGCCCCGCCCCACAGTGCCGCCCCAGCCCTCCTCCCTGCCCAGTGCCCCACAGAGCCACCTCCACCCCACAGAGCTGCCCCAGAGCCACCCCCCCGCACCCCTGCCCCACGGAACTGACCCAGCTCTACCCCCCCACCGCAGGGTCCCGGCCCCACGGAGCCACCCCAGAGCCACCCCCCGCCCCACGGAGCCGACCCAGCCCTCCTCCCTGCCCAGTGCCCCACGGAGCCGCCCCAGAGCCACCCCCCACGGAGCTGACCCAAGACCCCAGACCGCATGGCACCCCTCACTCCACAGAGCTGACCCAGGGCCTCCCCCACCCCACGGAGCTGACCCTGTCCCCCCGCCTTGTCTGTAACAGTGGCCAGTATCAGATGCTCAAAGGAAGGTGCATGAAACCTCGCAGGGTCGATTGGGGTTAACCGGACCCCCGACACCCCGATTCAAGGGTCTTTACAGCCCCCCCTGCCGCCACTGGTACTGCTCCGCTCCTCAGAGTGGTCTGGGCCGTCCCCTCCACTCAGGGGGTCCTGCTGCTCTGGGGGTGGGGGGCAGACACTGATTGGAGCCAGGTTAATGCCAGCCCCCCAGCGGGCACCGGCTCCTCACCCAGACTCTGCTCTGACCAGCCCCCCGAGCACCCAGTTCCCCTGCTCTGCTCCCCAAGCATCTGAGGCAGGGTCTGTCTCTGGCCAGGCAGCACCCGATGCCAGCTGGAACCTCCCGGCACTGCCGCGGGGCTGTAGGTGGCTCGAGCCGGCAGCCCAGCCCAGGCGCTCGCCCGCCTCAGCCGCTGGCAGAGCCGACACCAGGATACCCCTTAATTTCCAAAGAGCAGCCTGGCGCGCTGCCCCCCAGCACCAGCCGCAACGTCAACGCACCAGGGTCCTCGCACAGCTGGGGGCGGTGCACGTCAGAGCTCGGGGCCCTGACAGCCGCCCACCAGCACCCACCCCGTGGGATACCCGGGGCCAGTGCCCCACAGGGCTCTGCAGCACCCAGCCGGGGGGGGGCACCGGAGTGGCTGGCGCAGGTGGATATGGCCTGGCTGCAGGATGGGCCCTGTGCTCCCAGCCAGGCACCTGGCCCCCAGCTCCTCCCCAGACACAGCAGCTGGGGGAGGAGGGGGGGGGGAATGCCCACCCCCAAGCACCAGCCAGCCAATCAACAGCTGGGCCCCAAGCTGGCTTTGCTGCTCTGAGCCCCCATTGGCCAGCAGGGACCTGACATCACAGCCAGGGGTAGCTGAAGGGTCCCTTTAACCCCCTGAGCACCAGAAGGGAGTGAAGGAGGGGGAAGGGGCAGCATGTGCCCGGCTGGGAAGGGGGTGGGGGGGCCACAAAGAGGCGTGTCCCCAGCTCGCAGCTGGAGCCCGGGCCTGGAGCCAGCCCCGGCAGCGTTTCCTGGTGCTGAACACAACGATTTCCCCTCCCCTAAAGGGGCCAGGACAAGGGGGCAGAGCGATCCAGAGTCCCCCCCTCCCCCAGCCCAGCCTCCCGCGGATCACAGCCCTCACAAACCAGCACCCACTCATCAGCAAATGGGGAAACTGAGGCACAGAGAGGGGAAGGAACGCGCCCTAGACACATGGCACGTGGCCAGCAGAACCAGTCGGACCCAGGAGTCCGGGCTCCCAGCCCCCCTGCTCACAGTCAGACGACATTGCTCTGCCCACAGGTCAGACGCAGCCCGAAGGTGCCCGGGGGGGCTATGCAGGTGGCGGGGGCACCGCTGGATTTTGCAAACCAGCATCAACACACCAGCAGCTCCAAGCGCGTCAGGGCAGCTGCGCCTGGCGTTCGCTGGGGCAACAGAGGGGCAGGCGGGGCAGAGGGCATGACCCGGGCGCGGTACTCACTGGCTGGCGAGGGGGTGCTGTATCCACTCACGGGCAGCTGGTGCTGCATGCCTGCCAGCGCGCCCGGCGGCGAGAGGCCCCCAATCATGTGCGGGAAGAAGAAGGCGTAGTGGGGCACCGGGTACCCATTGAGGTGCCCGCCCCCCGGCGTGGGGCAGGAGCTGCTGTTGCTGGCCATAGCACGGATGCACAGTCCTGGGAGAGTCACATGTGGGCAGGTCACAGCGCCACGGGCAGCTCCATGGGGCCGCCCCGGGGAACAGGGCCTTGCTGCCTCCCCGGGACGTGGCGCTCTGCGGGGCTAGGCCAGCGCCCACCGGGGCCCAGGTGCCAGGGCAGCCTCTCCACCCCTTCCGCGGGGCCTCTGTGGCTGCAGGCAGGTCCTGGCACCGGCGGGCAGGCGAGCAGCGTCCTCTCGGCGGCTCCTGGCCTGCGTCGGCGCTGTAGCTGCAAGGGAAGCAGAGACAAAAGGGAGCTGGTTAGCGAGGGGGCACCTGACGCCTGGGCGAGGGCTGAGGTGGTGCAGGAATCCAGCCTGATACACGGCCGCAGGACGCCTGGGTTCCAGTCCCGGCTCCCAGGCAACACCCCCCCGCCCCATTCCTCGGTTCCCCCACTGCAGATACGGACGCAAAGCACCATGTGAATGAAAACTATCAGTATCCCAGGCCGGAGATCACAGGTGCCCCAGGAGATGGAACAGGGATACCGGGGGGAGGGATCTGGGGCGACAGAACGGGAGTCCAGGGGGTTAAGAAAGAGAGACACCCCCCAAAGCCAGGTCAGCGCCCAGAGGCCAGCCAGCCCCAGCCAGCACTGAACAGGAGCATGGGGGGAGGGGGTGGAACCAGGACACCTGGGTCCCACCCTCAGGTCTGTGGCTGGCTGCCAGCCTTGCCCCTCCCCCAGCCTCCAGAGCCCTTTGGTCCCAGCGCTAAGGGACAAAGGTACAGAGCTGCCAGCCGATTGGGGGAAGGGGGGGGCACCTTCAGAGCAGCCCCTGCCCCATGCACAGAGCTGCTGCCCTCAGGCCATGGCCCAGCCCCAGGCTGACCAGCACCAGCTGCCCCATCACTGCGCTAACCACACCCCAGGCAGGGCATCCGGTGACCATGCAGTCCGGGCCCACGGGCTCCTCTTCCGGGTCCCCCAGGGCGCCCCCCAGCCCTGACCCTCAGGCCTCCTCCTCCCCCAGAGCCTCTCGACCCCAACCCACAGCCCCGCGGGGCGCTCCCCCGGCTCTGACCCACGGCCCCGCTGCCGGGCACAGGGCTCTCCGGGGCGGGCGCTGGCCTGGCAGTGGGTGGGTGAATGGCTGCACTCAGCCCCGCCTGGCCCGATGGGCTCTGCCCACCCAGCAAAGACAGGCGCATCCTGCCCAGGCCCCGGGCACTCGGCCGCAGCCGCCCCAGAGCAGGGGGCTGGGCGGGGGCTGTTTATATTTTCTGGTGCCAAGTGCTGCCGGGCACAGCCAGGGACCCCCAGGCTCCAGCCAGCCATTCCCCGCCAAGCATTCCTCCTCCACCCCCCCAGTGCACACCGGCGCCCCCCCTGCGGGGGACCAGAGCACGTCAGTGACAGAACCCAGGAGTCCTGGCTCCCAGGCCGCCCCCCATCCCCGCCCCAGTGAGCGCTGACTCCTGGGCCAGCCCTGGCTCACTGCTGTGACCACTAGGACACGCTCCCTCGAGAGCCAGGTGAGGGGCAGAGCCGTGGGCTGGGGGAGGGGAGCCCACAGCTGGGGCCGAGGGGCCAGAGACTTTTCCTCCAATCCCATGGCAGGGCCTGGCCGGGACCCGCCGCTTCCTGGAATCCAGAGCCGGGTGCCAGGAGCCACGGCCAAGTCCCAGCCTGAGAAACCCCCCAGCCGGCCCCGGACTGCCCAGGCCCCGCCGGCTCTGCCCCCAGGCGCTGGGGAGCCAGGCTCAGGGGACAGCAGGAGGGCACCCCTGCGCCAAGGGGCATGTGCCTCCGGAGCCCTGCCCCCCCGCTTCCTACCACTCTGGTTCTGGGAGGCGAGGGCCCTGGAGCAGCCAGAGACATCTGTGCCCACAGGGACAGACGCTGGCACTACCTGCTCCCCCCCCACCCCAGGGACAAGGACCCTCCAGCAGCCCAGAGCCAGCAGGGTGGCTGTGGCAGCAGAGAGGGGGGCGGCTGCGGCCCCCCAGAACCCCATGCCCCGGCTGTTGCAAGATCCCAGCGCTGGCTCCACAGCGGGTCGCTGGCCCCTGGAACTCCCTGCCACAGGAAACTGAACAAGAGCAAAGCGGGCTGGGCATGTATTTCCTGGCAGGGGTGTTAACCCTTCGCTGCAGGCTGCCCGGGGCAGACCACCCCACCCCTGCTCCGCCCAGGTCTCCCACCTTCCTCTGCAGCGGCCAGCACCGGGCATGGGGCTGAGCCAGCCTGGTTCCTCCGATGGGCCCAGGCCAGGGACACCCCACGTTGTCTGGGGCAGAACCCAGGTACCCCACCAGAGCAGCCCCCCCGTGCCCATCCCACGGGTCTGGATGGGCACAGCAAGCACCCGACGCCCCCTGAGAGACAGGGTGTCAGAAATACACCCCCAGCCTGCCTCCTGCAGCCCCTTCCTCTGCCCCCTTGGAGGGGCACAGAACATGCCAACCCGGGGGAACCTTGGCATGATGGGACACGCCCACCCCATGCGCCATTGGCCCAGCCAGCAGGGGGGGGTGTTCTAAGGGGGGGAGGGCACGGCCCAGCAGGGACCCAGGACAGCCCCACGCCGACCTGCCTGGCACAGGAGCTGCTGAGAGGGGACCCCATGGCGCTGCCCCAAGTGTGAGACCCGGGGGAGGGGGGGAAACAGGGCAGAGCCAGGAATAGAACCCAGGAGTCCTGGCTCCCAGCCTGGTGTCCTAGTCCCAGGCCCTCCCCAGCGAGTCTGAGACCCGTTAGCCCCAGGACACCTGCGGCCACCCCAATGGGGCAGCGCCCTGCCGTGCCCGTCGCTGCTTTGCCCACCTTCCCGGGGTGCCCCAGCGCAGACGCAGGCTGGCAGACGGGTCCGTCGCCCCCGGATGTGACACATGCCCCACACGGCAGGAAGGCAGCCCCATGTGACAGGGCGGGCCTGCATGGGGGGTAGCCGGGGGGGGCACCGAGCTAGGCCAGCGCCCGGCGGCTGGGACGGCAGCTGCGAATCCTGGAGGTTCTTCTGACCGCACACTTCCCGTCACGCCTGCGACCGCAGCTTCCCCTTCGCCGCTCTCGGTTCCCGGCCAGGGCAGAGCCCGGGCGGCTCGCGGGCAGTGGGGCTGGACACCCCGGTGCAGGCTGGGAAAGGAGGCACTTAGCCCACAACCCCCCCCCCAGCTGTTTATGGCTCCGTTGCCATGGCAGCCCTCCCCCCCGCCCGGGATGGGGTGGCAGCAAGGCAGGAAGCGCCCCGACAATCTGAGGTGCGGTCACAGCCTGCGGCTTCCTCCCTGCGCTCGGCTGTGCCAGCCTCACACGCACGGGGAGGTGCCACCCAGCCAGGGGCAGAACAGGGGGCTGCAGGTCGGGACTGAGGGGCACCAGCCGACCGGGCAAACCACAGCAGCTGAGACCCCTCCAGTCCCGGGGTCTGTGGCCCCCGGAGCCTCACGCTGGGCTGGGGCGGCGGTGGGGGGGGGGGCGGGGGGACAGCACCCCGAGCAGCCTCCAGGCTCTGAGTCACCCGCCCATTTGTCACATCCGACAGGGATGAATCACCTCAAACAGGCCCCGGGCAGCGGCCCCAACGAACCCCCTATGGCATTGCCAGGGCAGGGAGCCAGCCGCCCCCGCCCGTTCAATCCAACCTGGTCACGAGGCCCCCACCCCAGCAGTCAACCGGCAGCTGGCACAGAGACACCCGCCAACCCCTGCCCAAAGAGAGGGGGGGAAATCCTGCCCCAGGCCGGACCCCAGCCGCCGGCACCCTGGAGCATCGCCTGCTGGAGGGGCGGGGGGGACGTGCCAGCAGCAACTGGGACGTGGGGGCTGCTCCCCTAGCAGGCCCAGAGCCAGCCTGGCACGGTGCCAAGGCACCCCACCCACTAGCACAGACCCTGCCCCCGCAAAATGAAATTCCACCTGTCCCCAGCTCCAGTTACCACCAGGAACGCGCCCCCCGCCCCTCCCCCCGCCCAGCGCCCCATTCTTCTCTAGCAACAGGTGCTGGCCCCGCCAGCAGCTACAGCCACTGCTCCGGGAAGAGGAACCGCGTGGGGCCAGCCAGAGCTCCCGGTCTTGGCTCAGCTGGCAGGGGCTGCGGGTCGGGAGTGAGGGGCACCGGAGAGCTGGGGGGGCCCAGGGCTGGGCTAGCAGGGGGCTGCGGGTCAGGATTGAGGGGCACTGGAGAGCTGGGGGGCCCAGTGAGAGGGGGGCCCCAGACCTGTAGCTGCCCCTTCTCACCTGGCCCTTGGAATCACTGGTGTGGGCTCCCGATGGGAGAGTTACTGACACACACACACACACACACACACACACACCCCGCCCCCAGCCGAGGCCCTGTCCCGGTGCAGGCTCAGCGCTGCGGTGCTGGGTCGCCCCGGCCGGGTTTACTGCCCACACAAGCCCAGCGCCCCGAGCTGCCCCCAGACGAGGTTTGGGGCTGGACCGTGGGAACCGTTCCCTGCGTGGCTGGGGCCTAGGGGACGCAGGATCCCGACGTCTGGGGCCAGGGCCCGCCAGGCGATACCGCAATACGACGAATACCGAAGACTCCCAAAGCGAGAGGGGGCCGTGCAGTGCCGGGAGCTGGCCCCTGCCCCACGTCCCGGCTCGGGACACTGCTGCGTTTCCCATGGGGGCCCGGGCTGGGGTCTCCGCAGCCTGGCACAAAGCGGGGGGGAACCATCATTTGCACCCTGCTCCAGGGAGGAGCGAACCATAGCTCCATGCCCCAGGCATAACGCAGACCCTGCTTTGCCCCGTCCACCAGGACCGGCTCCAGCTCGACAACCGCGTCAGGGACTCCTGGGTTCCCTTCCCAGCTCTACCAGCCATTTTCCCCTGTGGCCGAACGCACCCGTATTCACCCAGCCGGCATCGCCACAGCCCCCGACGGCCAGACGCCCCCCACCACGCAGCTGGTCACACGGGAAGGACAAGGCAGAGCCAGGAACTGAGCCCCCATCTCCCAAGTCCCTGCCCAGTCTCCCCCTCACGTGCCCCAGCTCTCCCCATGCCCACTCTGTGCCCAGCTTCCAGGTCTGAGCGCCCCTGAAATTCCTCCCTGGGGCCCACACGCGGGCAGGGACCCCAGGCTGGCAGAGGGTCAGCGCCCATCCATCAGCTGTAGCACAGGGGGCAGCAGGCCAAGCTCCGCCCTCCCCCCCCCCACACACACACACACCGGACACGCGCTGCCCATCCCATGCGAGCCATGCTCATTCAGCCAGCTAGGCGGGGGTGGTGCCGGTCCCGGCCCTATGGCATGGGGGCCCCAATGCACCGTGGGGGAGGAGGGTCTCCAGGCAAGCGGGGGGCGGGATTCTCAGAGCCCCTGATCTGGATGCAGCCCCCGCGCTCCCCACCCCCGCTGGACCCCAGCCCCGGCCTCGCCGGCCCAGCCCCGCAGCAGCGGCTAACACAAGCCAGCTGTCTGGGAGGCTCCGGACGGGGGCCGCGTCTGCAGAGCCAAGGCTGCGCATTGACGCCCCGGGGTGGAAATAGAGAAACAGAGCAAACAAACCCAGCCGCCTATCGGCTCCTGAGGCTGGCGGAGCCGGCCCAGGCACGGCCCGCGGGGTCCCGAGAGCACCCAACCTGGGGCCCATCACAGGGCACGCGAACCCGCCAGCCAGGCAGGGCCATGAGCCCCATTGCAAATGGGGGGAAACTGAGGCACGGAGCAATTCCATGACTCGCCCAAGGTGACCCGGCAAGGCAGCGGAGCCCAGGGCTGCCCGGTCCCAGCCCAGCTCCAAGCAAGGGGTTAAACCACGTTTATTTATCCCCCTCCCCCCGCGCTAAACCGCCTCCTGCTGCGGGAGAGATTAACCCATTTTCTTTAATCAGCACATTTGTCATCGTCAACGTGCTCACACCCCGAGGCAGGCGCAGTGGCCGGCATTGTCATTACTTCAAACCCTCTCCTGGGGTGGCCACGCCTCCTGCCAGGGCAACCGCCCTGCCCTGCCTGCTCCAGAGAGGGGGGGCACCATGCCCATGGCTGCTGCTAGCCAGGCCCCAGCCCAGACAGGGGGACAGGTCTGGGCAGAGCCCCTTGGTGAACTTGGCCCGGGCTCTGCTCCAGAGGGGATCACAGGCAGCCCCGGGGACGTGGCCGCCCCTGCTCCATGTGGGTAGGGAGTCACAGGACGGGGCAGGGGGCGTTCCTGGGCACGGCCTGGCATTGAAACGCCCAGCACTTCCACTCAACCCCCTCGGCAAACCCCACAACGAGGGGCCACTGCCAGCCACTTTTTATAGATAAACTGAGGCATGTCATGGGGCAGGGTCTGCTCTACCCACTAGTCCCCACCCCCACATCCCCGAGCCGGCAGAGAACCCAGGAGTCCTGGCTCCCAACCCCCTGCTCTACCCACTAGTCCCCACTCCTCTCCCCGAGCTGGCCGAGAACCCAGGAGTCCTGGCTCCCAACCCCCTGCTCTACCCACTAGTCCCCACTCTCTTCCCAGAGCCAGCAGAGAATCCAGGAGTCCTGGCTCCCCACCTGCCCTTGCCCAGGGCTGGCCGTCAGGCTGGGGAGGGGTCGGGGGCCAGGCCGAGCCGGGGGGGGATGGGAAGAGAATAGTGACATAGCAACCAAGCCACCTCCTGGTTATAAATAGCGTGGCGCCGAGCCAGGCGGGGTCTGGAGCTGCGAGCACTGCAGCTCGGGGGAAGGCAGCACCACACAGCTCCAACCGGGGCCCCTGGCCAGTCCCGACCCAAACTCCGGCCCCCCCGGCCAGCTGACGGCTCCGAGCAGGGCGAAGCCCCAGGGCTTGGCTCCCCGAGCGCCGCTGAGCTGGACGGTACGACGGGCGCCGAGCCCACGGAGAGCACCCCCAGCTGAACCTGCGAGCAGGGCAGGGAGAGGACGTGGAGGAGCAGCCGGAGGGGCCAGACCCTCGGGGGACAGACACGCGCCGGTGCTGAGCCCTAGAGCAACGGGATGCTTGGCAAACCGAAAAGCAGCACGACCCTCAGTTACCCCGTGGAACTCCCTGCTACTAGGAGTCCAACGGGACTGGAGAGGCCTGGCCCTGCAGAAGGCGGAGGATCCCAGGAACCAACCCTGCCCCATGACAGCCGGGGCCAGCCCCAGGCCGGCAGGATGTGGGGCACTTCCCACAGGCAGGGAACGCCATCCCCGGGAAGCCAGCGGCTGCCACAGACAGGACGCCGGGCTAGAGGGGCCCCTGGTGGCAACGTCCATTCTTTCCTCCGCCACTGAGGTGCTCGGGCTCCCTGCTGCCCGCAGACCCCGGGGCAGGGTTCACAGGGCAGGACACTTGCTCCAAGGGGGCGCAAACCCCAGGCCCCAAGCCAGTCTCCTGTGGCCGGGGGGAGGGGGGAGAAAGAGAAGCAGCAGGGGGGGAGGGGGAGCTTAACAGCCTTATCTTGGAAATCCTCTCAGAGCAGATCGACCGGATTAACGAGCGAGTATGAACCAAGCTGTGGCCAGTGACGGGTGGGGGCCGGGCACCCCCAAAGAGAGGCCCCCCTCCCCTGGCCCAGCCAGCAGAGAGAGCCCCCCGCCCCACAGACCCACCCCTGCGCTCGCTGGCGCCACCCGGGCCAAGGTCAGCGTGTCCTGACGACAACAAGGCCCAAACCCCATTGCCTTGGGGGCGCCCCACGGCATAAGTGGGGGTGGAGAGGGCGACACCTGTGGCCCTCAAGCCTCTGGCTACGCACTGCTCAGTGCTGGAACGCGCACGCCACGCAGACACGCACACGGGCCCCTACGGCCGCGCAGATGCAGAGGCCCGGCCCAGCCCCACGGCCCTGCAAGCCGCGCGCCCTTCACGCCGTGCAGCCCCAGCTGCGGAAGCCATGTCCCGAGCGCCCCACAGGCAGCGTCACCCCATCCCGACGACCTGCCCAGCATGTCCGAGCGGCACTTCCCACCACAAGGGTTCCCCGAGCCTTGATGCAGCCAGCTCTGGGGTGGAGGTCCGACCGCTCCCAGGAGAGACGGGGCTGCCCACACGCTCTTTGCTGGCGAGAGCTCCCCCGCCCAAAGGTTTTTGCTGGCGGCCGCAGGGCACAAGCCGGGATTGCTGCTGGGTTTCGTTTCCATCTGAAGAGGAACATGGGCTGGGCTGGTTCTTGGACGGGGGTCGGGTCCCGAGCGGAGGCCTTGGAGGGTCCCGATGCTGTGGGGGAAGGTGCGACCCCTCCCCCAGGTGCTCGCCCCACAGCAGGTTTGCTGGGATACCCGGCCACAGAGTGGGGGTGGAGGGGCTCAAAAGCCCCTTTCCCCAGTGTCCTGCCAGAACAGAGACCCCAATGACCCCCACCCCGAGGAAGAGGGAACGGGGAGGAAGTCGCCTGCCTAGACCCCCACCCCATAGCAATCTTCAGAGGCACCGACCCCAACCCCGGGCCGGTGCTACCTGCCTGCCGGAGGGGCACATGGGGGTCACCTCATCGCATCCTCAGCCCGGCAAGAGGGGCTGGGCCCCCCACCTGCGCACAGACGGGCCAGGGATGAGGCCAAGGCAGCGCTGGGATCCCCCCCCCGCCCCACCGGTGCCCCCCACTCCCAACCTGCAGCCCCAGCCCAGGTCTCCCCCCACAGCTCTGCCGATGCCCCTCACTCCTGACCCGCAGCCCCTGCTGTCTCAGCCCCGCGGCTGCCTGTGGAGCGCTGGAGTGGGTGTGTGTTGGGGGAGGGACAAGGCGGGCAGGAGGGGCCCGGCGGGTTCAACTGGCAGTTCAGCACCTTTCCCGAGGCAGGCACCATTCCCACCCTTGCCACCACTGCCCCAGCCCACGGGGCTACCCCAGGCAATTGCACAAAGCCCAGGGGGGCTGGGAAAAGCAGGGTCTTCTCTCCAGCCCCCATCCCGCCCAAAACAAACTGCATTTATATCCCACCGGGAGCTCTTCCCCGCACACCCCCGCCCAGAATGCAGCCACTTCTGGGGCAGAGCACAGTGCCAGCAGCACACGCACATACCCCCCTGCGTACAGAGGAAGCAGGCCAGACAGCCATTGGTCTGGCTGCCCCTCCCGGGAGGGCCAGTACTAGGGCAGGAAGGGCACTGCTACGAGTGACAGCCCCCTCTCTGGCAGGGGGAGCCCCCATGAGAGCCCAGAGTCAGGAACTGGGCTCGCCCTGCAGGCAGCAGCTGGTTGGGAGCCAGGGACAGACGATGAACACAACATGGACTAGCCGGTGCCAGGGGGACTAATGCTGCGCTTGAGTCCGCAGACAGCCTGAGCCAATCGCCCCTCTTCGTCCCAACTGGCCGTTAACTCTGAAACCTAAGGACGACGCTGATGTTGACATTAACTATGTCACTGCTGATCACTTTGGCAAGACATTCAGCCAATGCCAGTGTGTCCTGCCCCCTTCCTCTTTGGCCAGGAGCATCCACACAAAGACACCGACAGTGATTTATTATCTGGGCCGCGGCTATCACCGAGCCCGTCGTGCCACGAGCCAAGATCTGCAGCTCACTAGCACCTGGGCATTCGGGGGTCACGGAAAATAAATGAAGAGAAATGCATACTGAGAGCACCCCCGCACACGCAGGAATCCGTGAAAAGGTCTATGGTCTAATGGCCAGAACACCTGGGTTCTGTTCCTAGCACTACAGGACTTAAGGGAATTCTCTCCCCCCCATGCCTCAGTTTCCCCATCAGTACAGCGGAGATCGTACTGGGGCTTGTTGGAAAGCATGTGGAGACCCTCGCCCGAGGAAGGGCCACAGGGGTCTCACCGTGGGGGATGCCCACTCAGATCCACCCGCCCACCGGGCAGGATAAGGCCACAGCAGCCTGGGGTTTTCTGCAAAGAGTTGCCGTGGCCATGGAAACGCATGGGGCCAGTTCACACCTAACCAGGGTCCCAGCACGGTCCGTACAGGGGTCTGCAGGCTCCGCAGGGCAGGTGGAGGACACCCACTGCACTGGCGTTGCTTGGGAGCTGCCCGCCGGATGGAGAGCACCATGCTCACACCTCGAGTGCAGCCACCCCTGCGACGAATTTGCTATTCTCAGCAGCGCGCCGGGCGGAGGCCAGGACCCAGGTAACACACAAGGGCTTCCCCCAACCCCAGCATGGCTGGGTTCCCTGCTTCTGCCACACAGCAACCGACCTCTGCAGGAGCACATGAGTGACGCAAACAC